ATCTGTATATTGGTTGAATGTCCAATTACCTACAGCTGTCTCCCACTGTCTGCGTGTGTGGGAACTTGTGGTTTCCTTGCCTAATTAAGCTCTCTATTGATTTCGAAATAAAACCCAAGCTTGCTTGCCTAATTCCCTGTTTGTTTATTAACTTTACGTGTGTACACATAGGATAAGTTGAAGTTCTCCAATTTTAAACAGAATGCTGCAAAGATAATAATCTGCAAGTAACATTCTCCCTGCTGCTGGGCAGTAGACAAGAAATTTGGTGATGATTTTTCAATTTATTCTGTAAAATAAAGGGAACCAACAATTTTTTTAGTGATTGGTAAACAAAAACACAAGTGACTAAGATTTAAGACTGCACTATGGCCCGTCCTCATAGGTTGGGGAAAAGAAGCCCACGATACTAAGAACAAAATCAGTGATTTTCTTATCTACTGGACGTCATACTAGTAATAATGCGTTTCTACGAATGAAGCTTTTGGAGACGTGGCCATACTTTGTTGAGAGTGAAACTAATCAGAGATGATGCATTGATAAATGACTCCCAGTTCCAACAGTAATCTCTCGGTTTTCTTTTATCCGCACCTTCATAACTCAGATCACGCATTCCATCTAGATTCAGAATATTTTGTTTTCTCTATGCAAAAAAGAGCTATGCAAGTGCAAGCACACTTGCATGCGTCCAAGCAATAAATAGGTTTACAGGTTGTCTTGTCCAGCCAGAAAAATCTACCAGGCCTTGAAGAAAAAGGGGTTACCTATGAATGAGAATCTCACGGATTTCGGAAGGTGAGAACTAAAAGTATCTATCACATTGATATGTTATATGTGTATCTCTGTTATGTTTTGATGATCTAACAATGTTAAGAACCAGATAAGGAACTTGATACACATCCTCAAGAACTTAAGATCAACAAGTCTTCAGTTGGGGACACAATTCAACTCTTCAAAGTCAAAGGAACAACTGAGGGAACCGATTGCTACCAGTTCCTGTGGTGACTGTACAAGTCAACTCCCCGGCTGTAAAGTTATTGCCTGCACACACACCAATACAAAAACAGTGCAACAGTCAACTTTACGGGGAATGCCCTTTACCTAACTTGCTTGCATCATTCAAGTGATATCACCAATGAATTATTAACGTCAAGCAAAGGTAAAACAAAATACTTGCACATTTAAGATTTGATCAAGCATTTTTCTCTCAAGTCATCCATCAAGGGCATCAAGAACAAAGAACAACATAATAACGAACCAATTCCCTATATCGATTTATTACATATCCTTAGTTGTGTTGTACTTTTGTTAAAGCACTCTACTTGTAATTCCTACTTAGCTTAGTTAGAAGCATTGTGTAGGAAATCTTTGTAAATCATAAACCCTTGTGTTTGTGTCTTGGCTAGAGTTAGTCGAGTTGTAAGTGTTTGTAATAGAGTTATTACAAAGTGGCTTGTAATAAAGTTGTTACAAGTTAGTGATGGATTAAGAGTTAATTCCTAGGTTACAATAGGTTGTAATGATGTAATCTAAAGTTTGCTTAGTAGTGAAGTTGAAATCTTACAAGGGTAGGTCGTGATTTTTGATCCCGTGAGCTAGGAGTTTTCAACGTAAAACTCCTTTGTATCATTTACTTGCTGCAGTGTACATGTATTCTGTAGGAACTAATAGAGAACCTAGTTCTCTATATAGTTTGGTGGACCCTTAATACTATCAATTGGTATCAGAGCAGGTTCTTTCTATTAGGCTAACACATAGAAAGGATCCTCATGGCTGCTCCGCCGAACTTCGAAGGAGGTCAGTCTACCTACAGACCGCCAAGATTCAATGGCCAGTACTATGGATAGTGAAAGACAAGGATGCACGACTTCATCATGACTGAAGACTCAGAGCTCTAGGATATTATCTGCGCTGGACCCTTCGTTCATACAAAAATTGGAGGCCGCTCAGTGACAGTTCCTAAAACTAGAAAGAAATATAATAATGTTGACCGCAAGGCTATTGAAAAGAACTTTCAAGCTAAGAAAATCAACGTCTGTGGTATTGGACCATATGAGTACAACATGATTTCAACATACCAATCAACTAAAGAGATCTGGGAAGTTCTCCAAACAGCTCATGAAGGGACAACACAGGTAAATCAGTCCAAGATTGACGTGCTGACCACAGAGTATGAGCTTTTCAGAATGAAGGACGATGAGTCCATTCAGGATATGCACAATCGCTTCACATCTATCCTCAATAAGCTTCACTCACTGGGAGAGATCATCCATAGGAACAAAATTGTCAGGAAGATACTTAGCGTATTACCTGGTTCCTGGGAAAGCAAAGTAAATACAATCATAGAGGCAAAGGATCTTCAGGATCTGACCATTGATGAACTCGTTGGCAATCTCAAGACTTATGAAATAAAGAAGAAAAAGGATAATGAGAGAACAAAGCCCAAAAAGGAGAAGAACCTGGTTCTCAAGACGGACAGCAATGACTTAGTTGGTGAGGATGTTGATATGGCCTACTTGCCAAAAAGTTTTCAGAAAATGATTCGCAGAAATGGAGGCATTCCAAAAAGGGGCAGCTCTAGCAAGTCAAAAGGTTATGACCTATGTCATAAGTGCGGCAAGCCAGGATACTTCATCAAGGATTTCCCTCTCCTCAAGCAAGATAAATACAAACACAACACTGACAAAGCAGCTAAGAGAAACCAGGTTCCTAACAAACGATTCAAGAGAAAAGATGTCGCTGAAAATATTGTGAAACAAGCTCTTGTTGTATGGACAGACTCTTCCAGCAAATCTGAAGAAGATGATGATCAAGGTGATAGCTCTATGATGGTAGTGGAAAGTGATGCAACTTAGTATGACTCAATCTTTGCCCTTATGGCAAAATCTGACAATGATGAAGATGACGATGATGATGATGATGAGACTTTTTAGATGTTCAAAGAAATCTAAAGTCTTATTCTCCAAAAAAACTTATGTCTTTGGCAAATGTTTTAATTGATGCTTATCATAGTATTATAAATGATAAAGATGCATTAACTATGGAACTGGGAGAAGCAGAACAGTCGAGAGATGATCTAGTAGTTGTTGTGGTAGACTTAAAGGAAACCATTGAGAGCCTGAAGAAAGAAAAAGATGCCTTAACTGAAAAAATTGCAAACATAGAACATGAGAGACATGATCTAGTGGTTGTTGTGGTCGTTTTAAAAGAGATCATTAAGTGTGTTAAAAGGGAGAAAGAAGTTTTAATTGAAAGGGTTGCTAGCATTGAGCATGAGAAAGATGACCAATTAGTGGTGGTTGTAAACCTAAAGGAAACAATTGAGGAACTAAAAAGGGAAAATAGGCCCGAGAACACTCAAAAAGGAAAGGAAGTTGTAAGTGAAGCACAACTTAGGCTTGAAAATGAGTTAAAATCAGTGAAATCTAGTATGTGTGCTGAGCTTGAGAAAAATAGATAACTTCAGGAAGATCTAGGGAAAGTGAAAAGTGACCAAGAAAAATCTGTTAAGTGGAGCAGGTCCTCTGATGCAATCACTGCTATGTATACAAACAATGGGGGAAACATGTAGCGAATCAGGTTTCAAAGGGAAAAGATTCCCTAAAACCCTCATAGCAAGTATGTTACTATACCTGATAACTGGCTCTACACTCAATGTGGTAACACTGGGCACTTTAAGGAAACCTATAAGGCTAGATTTCAATCTTAACAAAAAAATAAAGTTTTTGCTGAAAAAGTAACTACTGCTAGGGAACCTGGTCCTTCATATAAAAAATGTGTGATGGTTGCTTGGATTAAAAGATCTCTCATTCACCCCTTCCCTCATTACAAGGGACCCAAACTTGTTTAGGTTTCTAAGTCTAACTCTTGATTTCCTTGTACAGGGAGCAGCCAACAATGGGACCCAAACTTGTTTGGGTTCCTAAGTCTAACTCTTGATTTCCTTGTACAGGGAGCAGTGAAAGGGAGCAGCCAATAATGGTACATGGATAGCGGTTGCTCGAAGCACATGTCTGGAAGTACAAATGATTTCCTTTCACTGAAGGTCCTACATAGAGGGATTGTATCCTTTGGAAAAGGAAGATACATTCAGAGAGTTGGAAGGATTGGGAACTCTCTTTCTCACTCAATTGAAAATGTGTACTATGTGAATGAATTAAAGTACAGTTGCTGAGTGTTTCCCAAATCTGTGACAAGGGAAACAAAGTGGAATTTGTATCCAAGATATGCACAGTCACAAATCTTGTGACTGGTGAAGTGGTGTTAGTGGCCAAAAGATACAAAACTATCTACGTTGCGGACCTTGAGTCCTCGCAAAATGGGGATCTCAGCTATCTGAGAGTTGTTGATGATAATGCTGAACTATGGCACAGAAGGCTGGGTCATGCAAGTTTCACGTTGCTGAACAAATTGGTCCAGAAGGATCTGGTTCGTGGTCTGCCCAAGTTAAGCTTCAAGGATCACAAGGTCTGTGATGCATGTGTAAAAGGAAAGCAAGTCAGATCCTCTTTCAAGCCCAAAAAGAAAGTGAATACCTCAAGGCCACTTGATCTCCTCTATATGGATCTATGTGGACCTATGAGGGTGCCAAGTAGAGGAGGAAAGAAGTACATATTTGTTATAGTGGGCGACTATTCCAGATTTACCTGGACTCTGTTCTCAGAACCAAGGATGAAACCTTTCAAGTGTTTGTGGAATTTGTGAAGAAGATCCAGGTGAAGATGAGCCATAATGTAGTATGTATCAGGTCTGACCATGGGTCAGAATTTGATAATGCCAAATTCCACAAATTTTGTGCTGAAAATGGCATCACTCACAATTTTTCAGCTCCAAGAACACATCAACAAAATAGTTTTGTGGAGAGGAAGAACATGAATCTTGAAGACATGAAAAGAACAGTGTTGACTGACAGTGGCATGGCAAAAGGTTTCTAGGCAGAAGCCGTCAACACTGCATGCTACTTGGTAAACATGTGTATGATCAGGTCCCTTACGAACAAAATGCCATATGAATTACTGAACAGAAGGAAGCCCAAGCTAACACATTTAAGAACATTTGGTTGTAAATTTTTTGTCCTCAACAATGGCAAGGAAGCACTTAGAAAGTTCGATGCCAAAAGCGATGAAGGAATCTTTCTGGGCTATTCATCACAAAGCAAAGCCTACAAAGTATACAAAAAAAGAACTCAATGTGTTGAGAAAAGCATACATATGATCTTCAATGAATCTCATCACCCATGTGAAAAGGATTTTAATGATAAAAATGATCAAGACAGAGAACAGTCAATTGTCCCTGGTGAAGTCAGTGACATGGCAAATGGAAAGGTAGATATGATGAGCCATGTTGAGAAATCAAATGAGGATGGTGAAACCATATCTCCAATTAATGAAGAGGAACTTGGTCCCTTAATCACAACAATTGAAGCTAAGAACAGAGTTGTCGATGTTGTCCAAGGCACGCCACATGCTGAGATAAGAAGAAGCCAAGGTTCATAGTCTGAAATGCCTAGATCCTCTAACAATGAGACTCGGGTGTCTAACTGGGAGCACAAAAGTTCACACCCTCTTGAAAACATAATCACTCCTCTTGATTCAGGAATTCAAACTAGATCAAAGACAAAAAAAAACTCACTTGCCTTCTCAGCCTTTCTCTCTCAAATAGAGCCCAAAAATGTTACACCATGTGCGTCCCAAGGCGACGTATAATGAATATGAGACTTTTTAATCATGATTTAAATAATTTTAAAGTCATAATATGACTATGTATGATATTTTTATAGAAAATATAAAGTTTGGAAAATATCGGATTTAAGTTGCGAAAGAACCGACTAGGGATTTGCCTTGTATCAAAGCTTTTTGAGAAATAAATTTCGTGTGATATATGAGGTCTTTTTGGGACATATTATATATGAAATTGAAGTTCTTGGAATTTATTTTCCAACGCACTTAACCATTCATTTATACGACAACCAGATAAAAAGATATAGGCGTCGGAAGATGGTCCAATGCGAGGGTGCCAAGCTAGCACCTCTTTGAATTTTCAAAAGTTTATATCTAGGTTTTAGCTCATATCTACCTTCACTTTTACATATATCCCGACCAGATAACACCATAAAAACCTTTCCTTAATCTCCCAAAGGGTTTCAAAGAATACTAACATCCATGGTATGAAATCGAGAAGCGATAACATCAAAACGATCCCTACGACGTAAGTATCATTATACCACCTCTCTTTTCTCTTTGTAGTTAGATTTTTGTAAGGTAATTCAATGTTGTGAAATGTCTAATTTCTGTAATTAAGTTTTTAAATATCAAGTAAGGTTGATAAATTGGTTTCCTAATAGTTAGAACTCACGGGACGGTGATTGGAAACCGTGAGTTCAATTTTGTTCCACTTTTAGTGGACTGTTTTGTAGTCCATTTGTGTTGGCCTATTTTGCTACTAATTTATGGAGTTGGAATCATAAAAAGGTGTGGAGAAACACCACATGTGGTCAGGTAGTAGGTTGGTCGCTCGTCGTTGCATTTTCAGGCTAATGGATAAGGTATTGATTGGGTGTGCTATGGTATATTTGGGGTTTTTGTTGTATTGAAGGTCCCGAATTGTAATTAGGTTGGTTTTGAGTTGAGTATTGTATTGTGTTTGTATATCACCTATAGTAGGCTTGAGGGAGCCGTAAAATCAGGGGAGATGCTACCCGTTTTATTTTAGAATCGAGTTATCGTTTGAGATACGGAATATACTAGCGTCATCTAAGTCGTACATGTATTTCTTTGTTATAGGGATGACGCGCTAGTTATCATATGCTTGTTGTGCAATTTCATTGATGACTTGAGGTATTTTAAGACTATCCCTCCTTTCCTTTTGGTATGATCCATATGATACAATTAAATGAGCAAGCACACAACTTTCACAAATGATTCTATTCTTAGAAGTACTAGGGTTGCCTATGTTCTGGATTCCCCATATGTCCTACTATCATATCGTCTGTTCATGGGTCTCATGACGTTCCGAGAGATCTTATTGACTTACTTTATTATGCATTACATCTATTTATACATGTATATTGAACCATGACCAGATGGCGTTATATACGCATATAGTATATGTATATGGGGTATAGGGAAAGGTTATGGTGTTATATACGCACCACCACCTGATAAGCTGGTATACATTTATGATTTCGCCCATAGAGGCTGAGATAATATGATGGGATGCCCTCAGAGGCTTGATGATGTTATCTACGCATATACCTATGCATGACATAACATTTATACGCATATGTATGACATTATAAATGTTTCACGATTCACAGAGCTATTCAGACTTACAGGTTGAGTCCTCTACTCCATGTTTCTTTCATGTCTTTTATGTACTGATTTTTATGCCTTACATACTCGGTATATTATTCGTACTAATTCCCCTATTGCCCGGGGGCCTGCGTTTCATGTCCGCAAGTGTAGGTAGATAGACTGACGGTCCCTCTTCTTAGGATCCTTGCTCAACAAGAGTTGGTGTGCTCCATTTGATCCGGAGCTTCTATTGAGTTTTGGTACGGTACTTTTGTATACATATGGGTATGACGGGGCCTAGTCCCGTCCTTTTATACAGTGTACACTCTGTTAGAGGTCTGTATACAGTCATGTGTAGTTAGATAGTATGTGTCCTTGTCGGCTCGCCCTGCCGTATTCT